GCATTGATGAACGGTATAAAGATAAAAGAAAGCTTAGTAATGAAATTCACAAATTTAAAAGGTGATGGCTAAATTAAAAGTTATAATAAAGATGAGTGACTATAATTTGTACATTTATTTTTTTTTGTCTAGTTTGTAAAGTGGAGGATATTTAACATTTTGAGCATTGAACCTTTTTCTAAATAAAAAATAGGTCACAAATAACATTTTATTACTTTTCTGTCTAAAGAGTTGTGGATGTTGCCAAATCTCCTTGGACAACACACTAAATACTTGACCAATTTTCTAAGAACCGAGCTAGTGCTTGACCAGTTTAGGTACCGGAACTAGTTTAACTAGTTGAATTAGTTAAATTGGCCGTTCAACTAATCATGAAATAAAATGATTTTTTAAAAACTTTTTAAAAATAAGGATCAAGATTTGAACTTAAAATATACAGTAATTATATAAATATTAAATCACTACACTCAAAGATCCTTTATTGCTAAAATTTCAACTTTTTAAATTTATTTATAATTCATAAAATCAAATCTAGTAATTAGTAATTAGTAATTTTATAAAAATTAAATAAAAATGTTAATTTAAATCTTTTAACACCAACTTATTTCCAAAAAAAAAAAGAAAGAATAATACAGTTAAATAAAACTTCATTTAATGTTTAAATATGCTGATAGGCGCACACTTACAGATCCACACATTTCACTACACATCACTTATAAAATTATCATTTTACGATTTTGAATTATTTCCAAAGAACTTAAACCAGTTGCCAAACACTCTTTTATTTTCGTTTGAGCAGTCTTAGCAACAACTGCTCGAGCACTCTCTTTTGGAAACTCATGCCTCATGTAGCCACATAACCCTTACTAATGAGGGATTCACTGGAACCAGCAACGATTTTTGAACGAACCCCGCGCTCTACTCTACCTTGTACCTTCTTCTTACTGTACTTTCTTTCCTCTCTCACCTCTATCCATTAAACTTTTGCAAATCCTTTCTCCAATTCATTAAGATTGATATTTAAACGTCAATAAATTTACTCAATCCAAATTTCAAATAAAAGAATCCCTAAAAGCTTCTTTTGCTCAAGAGTTTTCTTTAGCAATCACCTTTTAATCTTTCATAAATTTATCCAATCCAAATTTAAAATCAACAACAATAGTACCTCACTTGGAATTTTGAAAATCCCCCTCAGAAAGAAATTACTTGCCCCATTTACTGTAAAAATGAAGGTAAAAATAATTAAAGAGAATGACAATAAAAATAATTAAAGAGAATGACAATAAA